CTATAGTCTCAAAGAGGGGCCATTCAAAGAGCTATGGAGGCTCTGCAAGACCATCGGAAAGAAACAGAGCAGAGAGCACATGCAAGTAGTAGCAGCCTTTACCTTAGACAGCATAAGTCCCGATATTACATGTTGTCGCGATGGGTGCCCGGCCATCTGCAGATCCAGGAGGGGCACCTTCCGAAAAATGAGCCATGATCACGGACAGGGCTGTCGCAACACTAGCTTGCGCTAGTACTGGTACTGATACCAGCATGAGTACTAGTACGAGTACTAGTAGTTAGTAGTTTGCAGCACCAGTAGCAGTCACAACAACAGTGGCACCGGAAAGCCGTTGATTGAAACTTCCGAAGTCGATATTCGCACTACCAGTTCTTCAACAAACAGCCCAAAATTTTCGCTTACCATACCTTGGAGGATACAGTAGGGAACTTGATTCTCAACATATGAACACTGTAGGCATTCTGGTGGATCCTACCGAGCTCAGTGGCAGAAGCGTTGCTCTGAGATGTTGCATCAAATGGGGGTTTCCGAAAACAGGGGTACTAAACCCCTGAACCCTAAACCCTAAACCCTACCTTATTTGGGGGGTCCTTATAAGAGGGATCCTACTATTTAGAGTACTAGGTTAGGGTACCCTATTTTCGGAAACTCCCAAATAATGCGAACTGCTCTCCTGGTTCCCCAGAGTCCTGTTTACTGATAAGGCTACCCATGTTCCTGGTATTCAGCATTAAAAGAGGAACCCTCAAAAATAGAAAGGGTAGAAGGGTGCTACCGGCGAACCAAGGCTTTCCACGACAAAACTGGCCGTGATGCACTTCAAGGGGCTTAAATCTAGGGGCCTGACTAGTTACCAGTATATACTGTTTTTCTACTCTAAACCCTTATAGTGTCCCTGATAGACTCTAGACCCCTTTTAAAGGAACCCTATTCTAATCATTAAGGCCCCTACATGAAACTGCTAGGACAAGAAGCACAGCCAGACTTGGAGTTAGGAGAGTGCAGCTTTGGTAGCGATGCTGCGATGCTACCACAACCCTAAACCCTAACCCTAAACCCTAAACCCCAAACCTCCTTTGTGGGAACCAAAGGAAGCGCCATCCTGATGCTAAACTGTCGTCGCTGCATTTACTGAGACTCTATCTTCATTGCTCTTGCTTTTCTACTGGATCCCCAGCAAAGCAGGAATAAAAAGGCTCCCTTTTTGGTATTGGGTAACTGTATAAGGAACCTAGGAGTACAAAAAGGGAATAAGGGTACTACTGGGCATCCTAGAAACTTAAACATGTCGTTGACCCCGAAGCCCCAAACCCCAGCGCTGAAATCCCTAAACGCCCGAAGCCGCCCCCGAACCAAAAAAGACCACAAACATAAAATCCCACGTTAGGGTTTAGGGTTTAGGCAAGTTTAGGGTTTAGCTTGAACCCCAAAACGTGGCCCCTGAACCCGAAAACGCCACTACAACCGAAAGTTAAACGCTCCACCAGCCACCTGACGCGCCGTCTGCAGAAGCTGGAGGTGCTCCTTAGCTACTCAACGGCTGCTTGAAAGGCAGAGGGGGTGGAGGGTGCGAAGGGGTTCTTTAAGGTGAGGGGGGGAGTATATGAATTTGGTCTTTTTATGGGAGTTATTGAACTAGGAGTGTCTTTTTCCGGTGTTTTTTGGTGTTTAACACGGTTTTGTAGGCGGCCACGAAGCCCAATAGCCCCTTCTTTTGAGCCCTGTGAAGCTCTGCAAGTCGTTATACAGGGTTCTCAAACTGAGATCTGCCATGCTTCGGTGGCTGGCCCTTCTCATGAGGCTTCAGGGTTTTTGTTTTAGGGTTCTCATGATGGTCGTGATATCTCCGGCAATCACGAAAGAGGCGCTCCAGCTTCGCTTGAGAGTTCACGGGCCGCTGCGGCCAACCAGCGAAGACTGATGTCGGGAAGCCGACAAAGGCCGTTCATGTTACCGCCAGACCACATTCTCCCAGGACTTGCAGACATCGCCTCTCTTCCCAAGGTTCTTAGTGCTCTTGCTGCCGATCTGTCAGTCAGCACACGCCAACATCAAAATTCTTTTGTTTGGCAAGCTCAGCTGCAGCATTGCTTCTTCCTCAAGGTAGGAGTCAGATGTCCTGGGCTGCTGCAAGAGCCTCATCACAGCTCGCGTGTGGCTGCCACGTTGTCAACGACCACGACGTGCGACTTCCCTAACCGCTTCCCTCTTGAGGGTTTCTGCAAGTCAGGGAAGCCGGTAAGACAGTCCACAACCTCGGTGCTCTCGTAACCTCAAGCCCTGACAAGTTCAGGTGCAGCAAAAGTCATCCTCATCTGTTCCTCAAGCGAGGACTCAGATGTCCTGGGCTGCTGCGGGAGTTTCATCATGTCTTGCGCGGAGCTGCAAACAACGCGCCAGGACTTAGACCGAACCGGAAGGCTTGCAGACAGCGCCTGTCTTCCCTAGGTTCTCGATGCCTGTCGCTCAACAGACGTCAACATCAACATTCTCTTGTTTGGCAAGCTCAGCTGCAGCATTGCTTTTTCCTCAATCTAGGACTCAGATGTCCTGGGCTGCTGCAAGAGCCTCATCACAGCTCGCGTGTGGCTGCCACGTTGTCAACGACCACGACGTGCGACTTCCCTAACCGCTTCCCTCTTGAGGGTTTCTGCAAGTCAGGGAAGCCGGTAAGACAGTCCACAACCTCGGTGCTCTCGTAACCTCAAGCCCTGACAAGTTCAGGTGCAGCAAAAGTCATCCTCATCTGTTCCTCAAGCGAGGACTCAGATGTCCTGGGCTGCTGCGGGAGTTTCATCATGTCTTGCGCGGAGCTGCAAACAACGCGCCAGGACTTAGACCGAACCGGAAGGCTTGCAGACAGCGCCTGTCTTCCATAGGTTCTCGATGCCTGTCGCTCAACAGACGTCAACATCAACATTCTCTTGTTTGGCAAGCTCAGCTGCAGCATTGCTTTTTCCTCAATCTAGGACTCAGATGTCCTGGGCTGCTGCAAGAGCCTCATCACAGCTCGCGTGTTGCTGCCATGTTGTCAACGACCACGACGTGCGACTTCCCTAACCGCTTCCCTCTAGTGGCCCCCTGAGGGTTTCTGCAAGTCAGGAAGCCGGCATGACAGTCCACAACCTCGGTGCTCTCTTGTACCTCAAGCCCTGACAAGTTCAGGTGCAGCAAAAGTCATCCTCATCTGTTCCTCAAGCGAGGCCTCAGATGTCCTGGGCTGCTGCGGGAGTTTCATCATGTCTTGCCCGGAGCTGCCCGGAGCTGCAAACAACAACCGGGATGTAGACCGACCCGGAAGGCTTGCAAACAGCGCCTGTCTTCCCTAGGTCCTCAATGCCCTTGCTGCTACGGTCCTATCTGCCACTCAACACACCGAACACACATAAACATTATGTCTACAGGATTATCCTTCCGTCTTATATGGCCCACACTCCGGTAACCTGTAAAGGCTTCAAGAAGAAAAGAACATGGAGAGTCCCCATAGAAGCCCGAAGCCCTAAACTGGAACCCTTCGCCCAATTCCTTAGCCCCTGATGACCTGAAGCTTGCCTTTGGCTGGTAGGGAATGGAAGAGTGGGGCGTACAAGTATAACTACTATCACTACCATATTACTACCATATTACTATCATATTACTACCATATAACTACTATTACTACCAATTATAACTACTATTACTATCATTCTTCCATTCCCTACTAACCAAAGGTAAGGAAGCTTGGGTCCCCTGCCGTGTGCCTCAGTCCGCGCGGCCTGCATCCGTGTGCAAGGGAGTTGCTGTCAACATTAAATAGTATAGTATAATATACACCAAAAGCCTATTCTAGGTAAGGTCTCCGTATTACTGTATAGTACCCTTAGTAGTATCGTGTAACCATTAATGTGCCTAATAGTTAGTATTATCACCACTAGCATTGTCATTAGGAGTCCCATTATCAAGGGATCGCTTTAGTTTTTGCTGGTGTTGTTGCTGTGGCTACCACCACCACCAACAACAACACGACAATAACCTTCGATAACCAAGACAGCCCAATACCGCTTCATTAAGGCATAGACCTTAAGCCACAATATTAAGGCCCCGATCATTTCAGGCATATTCCTTAACTAAGGAGTACTAGGGAGTTTCCGAAACTAGGGGACCCTGATATCGTACCCTAAATAGTAGGATCCTTATTATAAGGACCCCTAAATAAGGTACCCCTATTTTCGGAAACTCCCACTAGGCTCTCTGGCAAGGCTCCCGCCTGCTGGGCGCTGTAGGCTTCCTTGGCTTTCGTCAACTCCTGGTTGCAGGGCTCACAGGTCCGCTACTAGGGTTCAGGGTGTAGGGTCTAGGGTTCGGGGTTTAGGGTTTAGGGTTTAATGTAGAGTGGGGATTAGGGTTCATGAAAGTTAGGGGATCTGGAGTTCAGAGTGTCATTGAGGGATGCGCTTTTGACCTTGGCTTGTGTATTCCTCTGGAAGTTTACAGGAGTCTAGCATAGCACAGTGCGCGGCACCACGTAACCTGTGTCCGGCGTTTCTTCGCGCTATCGTCCTCCTCACGTTGTAGAAACGATTCAGGCTTTAGGGCTTAAGGGGGGTAGGGCAGGGTTCAGGGCTTTCTCTCCAAGCTCGTCCCCTCGGAACTGTTTCTGCTTGATGCGTAGCTTTGTAAGAACTCCGAGTCTGTTCTCAAGAAGAGCTAGACTCGGTGGACCAACAACTGAGCAGAACGCAAAACTACTCTACAAAGCCAAACGCATGGAGTCCCAGATTAACAACTCCAGCGCACTTTCCAAGCAAAATGAAGTACGAAATATTCGTCCTGACGGCGTACTTCGTTAGCTATAAGTGGGGTTATAAGGCACCGAAAAATTTCATTTTTTGCTGTCGTCACCCTACTTACTACCCATGAACCTCCAAGTAACGGCGTACAAGACCCTCAACCTTCGACCACGTGTTTTTTCCGAACGGATGAGTGGATCGCGAAGATCGCTTTCCCGCAAAAGCGGCTTAGTGCGGAGAATCCTTGGATCAGGTGGTGGCAGCGATGGATGTTGTTGCTCTTTATCCGGGCTTGGCTCGTGTTTTGCCGAGCACGAGAGGTCTAGCGGTATCATACTAATAATTATAGAAGCCTACTTAGTTAGAATAGGGTTTTGAGGGTTCCTCAGACCCCAAAACTCTATTCTAATCATTAAGGTGCCTATAGTACCTCTGTTGAAATCAATATGCGGATCGGAAAAACTACCCAAGCTCTAGAACATAACATAACAGAGCCATGAAACCCCTGATTATTAATCATGGGATTACTATTTATTAGGATTCTTATCGTTGTTATTAGCATAACTGCTGTTTTGTTGGTCCTATATTGAGCTGCAAGATGGCTTCAAGGCTTCCGTGTTCAAGCGCATAGTCAATGCATGAATGGGATCGAAGTTATCCCGGACTAGGCGCCCTAAACTAGAAACAACAAAAGGACGAAGCAACTAGCTAAGAAGAACACCGCCAACAATGCACAAGTCCTAAACCCTGAAACACAAATCGAATCCGCGACGCCGAACCATCAACACTAGCAGCTGTGATGCCCTCATACCCCCCGTATATAGCTCAGAAGAGCCTCCTTCCCTAAACGAAACTGTACCATAAACCCTGAACCCGAATCCTGACCCAAGCCCTAAACCCTAAACCCTAAACCCTAAACCCCTAAACCCTAAAACCCTAAACCCTAAACCCTAAACCCTGAACCCTAAACCCTAAGCCCTAAACAGCCGGGGCTCCATCTGCAGGGCGAGGTGGACCAGCAAAGCCAGGCCCAAGGAGACGGCGAAGGCCACCGGGCCAGTTCTGCGGTTGAAGATGCGCTCGCTCTGCTCGTTCCTCGTGGATGGGGTTTAGGGTTTAGGGTTTAGGGTTTAGGGTTTAGGGTTTAGGCTTTAGGCTTTAGGGATTAGGGTTTAGGGTTTAAGGTTTAAGGTTTAGGGTTTAGGGTTTAGGGTTTAGGGTTTAAGGTTTAGGGTTTAAGGTTTAGGGTTTAGGCTTTAGGGTTTAGGGTTTAGGGGACTTGGAGGTTCATGGGAAGTTATAAGTGCGGTTCTAAGTCGTCCCCCGATATGGGTCATAATTGAAAACCCTAAACTCCGAATTCAAAAATTACGAAGCCCTAGACCGTCCTTGGAGGTTCATGGATAGTTATAAGTGCAGTTGTAAGTAGGGCAACTATGCTTCTAGCCCCCATATTATACGGGACCTAGAACACCACTTATAACCAATCCAAGCAGCAGTCAACATGTGACCGGGCAGCTGGAGCGGTACATTATATATACTACACCTGAGACCTATAGTAAGGAACCTACCAAAATAGTATTGGTAATCATTGAGGCCCCGACATCAACAGAAAACTGAGGGCAGCTGAACCCTAAACCCTAAAGGTCGTAAATCCTAAATACTAAACCCCTAAACCCTAAACCCTTAACAGCTGAACCCTAAACCCTAAACCCTAAACCCTTAAACCCTTAAACCCTTAAACCCGAAAGCCTTAACAGCTGAACTCTAAACCCTAAACCAAGTGAGACTCACACCGAGCCGGGCAACTGAACCATGGCCTTTATTCTCTGAAGGTGGGAGATCACCTGAGCTCTTCCAGAGTTCATGCAGAGTTCTGGAGTTGCCTGATTACTTGGACCTTGGAGGTTCAAGGGTAGTTCTAAATGTTTAGGGGCTAGGGGTTCTAAAGGTTTAGGGGCTAGGGGTCTAATGTGTTGGGTTTAGGGGTGTAGGGGTTGCAGTTCAGGGTTTAGGGTCTGCTTGGGGGTATACTTGTAGCTACCCTACTCATAACCCCGCCTTTTACTACCTATGAACCTCCAAGTACGGCTTAAAGCTTCTATAGAGGCCTGGCTGGATGGACGAATTAAGAGGCTTCAACACAACAACAAAGCGAGTGGCACTACCAGTTCGAGGCTCCGGGTACCTTGAACCCATGGGGCGTGTAGAAACCCTCCAAACCCCAAACCCGAGTCCTAAAAAATTGAATTCCAAGTTCGCCTAACGTTTTGCATGGAGGGCCCTATTACTCAACACTTTCCAAGCCTGGGAAGTCTCTGAACCTCAGGGTTTAGGGTTTAAGGTTGACCCTAAAGCTGTCGCGATCCTTGCTTGGGGGCATCCTTGTGATCATGAACTGATGTTAGAGCAGAGACCTCCAGGGAACCTCCTCAACCCTACCTGACAGAAAGAAGACCTCCCATCGATAAGCCATAAACCCCAAACCCAAAACCCTAACCCTAAAGCCTAAACCCTGAACCCTAAACCCTAACCCTGCACCCTAAACCCTAACCCTGAACCCTAAACCCTCAGCTCCTCAAAAAATCCAAGCCGCGGCATACCAAGTGAAGCAAACAGAAAGCAGAACCAGGAAGAGGGCATAGCAGCCCAGCCTTGCTCTCTCGGGTTTACGAGCTACTGTTTAGGTTTTAGGGTTTAGGGTTCAGGGTTTCGGGTTTAGAGACGTTCAGGGGTAGTTATAAGTGGGTTACCCTAGTTGCCGAGTTCATAAGCCTCAAAAATTGTACACTTTCAGTTTTAAAGTTGGAAATATTGTCCCAAAAAGTGTAAAGTGTAAAGTGTATCCACTCAGCTACTAGGTTATAAGTCCCCTGATACGGGTTATAAGTATACTTACCCTACTTATAACCCCGCTTATAAGGACCCCTGAACCTCCAAGTACTAGTAACGCCCAAGCAAACGTCCAGAGAGCTCAGTGCAGGAATAGGGCTTAGGGTTGAGGGTTTAGGCTTTAGGCTTTAAGGTTTAGGGTTTAGGCCTTCACTACACTACACCCAAGACCTGCTAAGCTGCAGGGGCCTTCCTTAACTAAGGGGTATTGGACTGTCTGGGCCTGCTACATTGGCTTCATGATTTAGGGTGATGAAGGACTAAAGCTAACTATGCAGAAGTTGATGGCTAGAATAACTAAAGCTTTGGGGTATCATGCAGTATGAGTAGAATGAACAGCCTTATATCCGGAATAGCCTTACCCATTGTTGAGGGTTCTATAAGAGGGTCGGACAAGGGCCGCTAGTCTCTTGGGTTTGAAGGCTTCAGGGTTTGGGCGGGAGGCTGAAACGCGGGAAAGGACAAAGACAGCAAGAGCTCAGAGTTTCGGGTCTAGGGTGCCGGCATTTAGACGGTTTAGGGTTTAGGGTTTAGGGTTTAGGGTTTGGTTTAGTGTTTAGGGTTTTGGGTAATCTTAACCCTAAGCCCCGAAGCCTAAAGGACACTTCCCAGCTGCTTGCAGACGTGCCGCACTATTCGCGACTTGCTTGCGGTGTTCAACCAGAGCCCGCGTTTTTCCCTGAGCAGGCAAAGGCCCGCAGTGTGGCATTCGTTTAGTATAGGGTCTCCTTAAAGGGGTCTATGTAAGGGTTCCTTTCAAGGGATCTATAAGATTACTGTAATATAGGGACCTTAACTAGAATAGGCTTTGGGGGGTATATTATACTATAATTTTAATAAGGAACCCCCAAAACAGTCTTGGCAACCATCTAGACCCCCATATTGCCCGTCAAGCTCTTTCCGTACAAGTCGCACTTTCACAGCGGCCACATGACAAAACAGCAGCATACATGGGTAGTTGTCAAAATTAGGGTCCCTTTCTGGGTAACCTAGATAACAGGTGCCGTATTAAAATAAGGACCCAAAAAGGGACCCTAATTTTGACAACCACCCACATGCAAAAGAGCAAGACTGAGGCGGACAGCGACGACGACTGCCAACGACGAAAAATAGATCTCAACAACCACGACAATTACAAGAAACACCAACACCATCGGCACGGCAACACCAACATCAACAGCAAGCGACCACCAACACCACCGCCAGCACCAGCACAAACCCTAAACCCCAAACCCTAAGCCCTGTAAACCCTAGAATCCGAACCCTAAAGTGAACCCTGTCAGGTAAAAGTCGCTTCCGAGCTCCCGGCTCAGACTCCTCGGTGCCACTCGTGTGCTTCATGTGCCCGTGAAGGCTGTAGCGCCAGAGCCCTTCAGGGGTGTGTGGGGTCTTTTTCTGGTGTTTTTGAAATTTTTCCATCGCCCAACCAAAGTCCAACTTTTTTGGGGTTTATGGTTCAGGGATTAGGGTTGCTTTCGAGGGGCTGGGAAGGTTTCTGTGAGGGGAAGTACAGGGCTTGTAGAGGGTTTAGAAACACCTAACCCTAAACTCTTAGCACTGAACCCAAGGGGGTCTCCTCTGGGGGAGGCTTTCGGGTTTATGGTTGAGGGATCTTGGCGGTTTAGGGTTTTGCGGGTTTCAGGATTTAGGGGGAGTTTTGAAGGTTTGGGCTGGCGGGCTCAAGAGTTTCGCATTCAGGCACATTTAGGCCCGACTGTGCCTATCGCAACCACGGCCAGCGCAAAGACAGTATGCATCCATTCCAGCATGGTCCTGGGAGGATGTCCACAGTTAGGGTTCCTGCACGTGTTCCTTTATTTGGGAGCTTCCGAAAACAGGGGACCCTAATAGGCCTTCATGTAGTACCCTAAATAGTCGGATCCTTCTTATAAGGACCCCAAAATACAAGGTACCCCTAATTTTCAGAAACTCCCATTTAAGGGTAGCATCCGGGTTTCGAGGCGGGTACTGTCGGGGAGTTTGGAGCCCGGATCTAAAGAAGCACCCTCGGGGTCGCGGACCTCAAGTTTAGGGCCCAGAGATCAGGGTTTCGGATTCAGACAGACATGCCCTCCTCGTTCCTGTAGTGAAGGCGCCTTTGAAGAGGGTTTACGCATACAAACTGCCCTTGTATCATCAAAGTTCATCAAAGGGCGAGTGCTTAGCCAATAACCGGAAGACACCGTAGAGATGCTCCGAAGACTTCTATGCCTCGGCTCCTCTGCTCTTTCGAGAAGGCTTTCAAGGTTTGCAGCTTTGTGTCTGAGGTTTAGAAGGGTTAAACGAGCCTTGTGTACATGTAATGCAGAACAATGCACACCTGAGTGCAGCTATGACATAAGCCCAAACCTCGTAGCAACACACTGCGTCCTAGGCTTCGCAGCCCTTCCATCATCGTCTCGACAAGCAAACAAAAGCTGTGCCAAACTGCCACACCCCTGGACAACCCCCGCGACGTGGCAAAGCCCCATGGAGATCAGACCCACATCAACGTCCTGTAAAGAAAAAAGATCTGAAACCCAATAGAACCCACGGTTCCGTGCGGCACTCTTGGTTGCTACAACTGCCAGTCTTCTTAGAATTCTTAATTATATATTTAGGAAGACCACATCACATCGACTGAAAGATTATAATCCTCGTATATAGTTGTTCGCGGTCTTATGTGGTTCACGTTGTTGCCACGCCTGGTAGCCTAAGCCCTATGAAGCCCTTACAGACCCCGCATAAACTTGCCAGAGCTCTGATAGAACGCTACAAAGTACCCAACAAAGACCCTTTGAAAGCCTTTGCAGAAACAAAACCTAGACCGAAACCCTAAAAGCCTTTAATCCCTAAGTACCCTAAAACCCCTAAGCCCGAAAGCCTAAACTCTAAACCCCGAAACCCTAAACCCCTAAACCCCTACAACCCTGAACCCTACAACCTAAACCCAATAGAACCCTAACGCCGGACAACCAACAGAACCCTAAAGCCCGAAAACCCAAAACCAGTAGAACCCCGAAGCCCTAAATCATAAACCCTATAGACCCCTTATGGGTCCCTTAAAAGGATCCCTTAAAGGATGCCTTAAAGGATCCTTTAAAGGATCCCCTAAAGGAACCAAACCTTAAAGACAGCTGCCTCTCGGAGGCCAACAAATTCTTCGGCTCTATGATCCGGTCATCCTCCTAGGCCCACCACAAGCTTAGGGCTTAGGGGTTTAGGGTTTAGGGTTTTTTTTTTTAGGGCTTAGGGTTTAGGGGTTTAGGGTTTAGGGTTTAGGGTTTAGGGCTTAGGGTTTAGGGTTTAGGATCCTACACCCAAAGCCGTGAATCCTATAAGCCATAAATGTTACTTGCTGAAATGTATCGTGTAAACAGTTGTGGTCTGTGTTGGAAGACCCTGAGCACGCTTACGACGTACGACGAGTGTTTGGAGTTCTATGGGTGGTGCATGGTACGTATTTTTTTCGGTTGGTGGCTTGGAAAGAACACCTTCGCATGTGGCTGAATATCAGCTTAGCTATTCTGACAGACTCGTTGCTGGAATCCGTGCCTGCCTGTGCGAGCGTGCTGGCAGGTGTAAATTTTGGTATATGGGTAGTTATAAGTGGGGTTCCTTTAAGGGTTCTACAGGGTTGAGGGTTTGGGGTATAGTAGGATTATAGGTTTCGGGTGATTAGTAGTTATAAGGGTTCCTTTTGAGGGTCCCGTTAAAGGGATCTATGGGAAACTATAAGGGTATAGGGTTCAGGGCCTACTTGGAGGGTCATGGGTAGTTACCAGTAAGTGGCGTTATATAACAGTAGAGAAACTGGAAGTATGACCCAGACTTGGGGACGTATGAAACCCCACTTATAAATACCCGTGAACCTGCAAGTAGCTCTCAAGGAATGCTTGGTGCAACCCTTGAAGGAACCCGTTAAGCAAGGAACCCTTGAAGGAATCCTCAATGGGAACCCTGGAGGCTCAAAGGCTGGAGGCTCTGACTCTGGGGTCAGGTTTCAAAAGGTTTCAAGGCCGAAATGTGGGAGACAAGGCGACGGAAATACATTCGGCGCAAGGCTGGGTTCTTGATTAGGAGCTTAGTTAAATATCATATTCAGGAAAGCACGCTGCATCTCTAGCACAACGTGTGTATGTGTGTGTACATATGTGTGTGTATATATATATATATATGTATATATGTGTATGTATATATATATATGTGTGTGTACTTGTCTGTTTATATGGATGTATGTGGATATATATATATATATATATATATACATATGTGGATATATATATATAGATAGATAGATGTGTATATATATATACCTATATATACATACATACATACATACATACATACATACATACATATATATATATATATATATATATGTATCTGTTTCTACATACAGATATGTATGTCTACATCTCGTGTACAAGTGAGTAAGCATATGTAAATATATGTATATATATATATATGCATATATAGTATCGTATAAAAGCACAGTGTAACATGCCAAAAGAACACATGACATAGCCTAACATACAGTAACATAACAGAACATGCTATCAAATGGCATGACATACGGTTGATGATAGAAATCCTGGATTACCCACTATAGGGAATATACCATAACTCCCAATGCAGACTTATATCATCAACCGTAGTATAACATAACATGGCATGGCACAATACAAACATGATGTACGACCACCAAATAGAACAGACTAGAACAGAACCGAACAGAATGTAATGTAATAGAATATAGTGTATGCAACACCACTATGACGCATCACAGCACACTAAGACATATTGTAGCCCAGCACCGTGCATTAAAACACTTGACAACACAATAAGATACAGTACAATGCACACAGTACTCGACAAGAAAAGACACCAACCTGTATTATGACATAGCATGATCTAGTATAGTCTAAGACAAACAAGATGAGAGATAAGGTCGGATAAGACAAGATAGACTTAGACAAGATAACATGACCCCTTTCCATAGTATAAGATGATACAACATAACCTGACCTAACAAAGATATAATACCATATGTACTGGTATAATGCAGTATGTATATACACTCAGCCACATCTCTCTCTCTCTCTCTCGCCTCCCTCTCTTTCTCTCTCTCTAACTCTCTCTCTCTCTAACTCTCTCTCTCTCTCTCGCTCTCTCGCTCTCTCTCTCCGGCCGGATTCTGGTAACTTACGTTGGGCTCCGTAACCAGGTCCGGAAGACTATGCTGATTCAGGCTTTGGGTTCGGGGTTCAACTCTGCAACCTACACCATAGATCCTGTCCTAAACCCTCAAGCCCTTGAACACCTCAAACCCGTGATCCTTAAACCCCACACTGAACCCTGTCACCCTCAAACCCCCAAACCCTGCACTGTCAAAAGTCCGAAATTGTTGAGGCCTTGCAAACGAAGGCCACTCAACACTAAAGTCTATAAGCTCGAATCCAAAACACGACCTATCAAGCCTCTGGATACTCAGTCTTAATAAACCGCACGAAGAAGACTGATCTGATTTGGGTACGGCCCCCATACAGTAAGAGTCTATAATCGGGCTACTATTAAGGTCCTAATATATCTATATTATGAATATTATTCAAGTATTACTGAGTGGGGACCGTACCTAACATCTGATCAAACACCCAAACTCATGTCAACGGTAAGACAAAAACCTGAAGCCTTGAGCAGACCTTCCCCAAACCTTACGGACCGGCAAGACCCAGAGACTGGTCACATGATATATACATGTATGTATGTATATATATATATATATGTATATAAAAACATATATGTATACAAACACATATATATATATATATGTGTGTATGCACATGATACACTATGTCATGGAAGAAGTGTATATTCAAGTAATAGCCCCTAAACCCTGAATGACAGGCCCGAGACCCTGGCAAAACCCTCAGAAACCAAAATGACCCCCTTAAGCCCTAAACTTCCAAGCCTACACCCAAAATTCTTTGATTCTAAGCTCTCGATCCTAAACCCCAAACTCTCAAACCTAAACCCTAAAGTTTAAATCCTTGAGCTGAAACCCCCCTCTCTCACCCAAACCCTAAACCCTAAACCCTATATAATCCCAGGGGCCGCTGGATTCCCCAGAGCGCCCTCCTCCTGCGGCGCCACCTGAGAGCTCTCTCGGAGGGTTCTAGTAGGGGGGTTTAAGGTTTAGAGATTTGGGGTTTTGGGTTTAGGATTTAGGGTTTAGGACTTGGGGTCTAGGGTTTAGGATTTAAGGCTTTTTAGGATTTAGGGTTTAGGGTGTAGGCGTTCTCGTAGGCGGGTTTAGATTTAGGGCTTAGAGTCTGCAGGGTTTGAGGCTTAGGGTTCGGACTGAGAGTGTGCTGTGGGCAGCTTCGGGGGCTTTACGGTGCCAAAGGCCTCTTAGGTCCTACGGAGGGTTTTTTATCCGGGCTCCATTGTGGCTTAGAGTTTGGGTTTTAGTTTTCTGGCTTAGGGATGTTTGGGGGCTTTTCCGTTTAGGAGTCAGGATTGGTGAGTTGGGGAGCTGATGGCTTAGGCTACTTAGGGCTTAAGGATGAAAAACACAACGCATTCGGCGCTAAAGCATAGCAGGTCTTTTAAAACTGTGCGAAAACTCCGGTGCAACACCAATCTCGCACTCAACCTTGAGGAACCATTCTAACCGCGCAGAACCCCAACTTAACTCCCGAAAGCTGAGATCCCCGAGGCACCCTAAACCCTAAACCCCGAAACCCCTAAACTCCGAAGTCCCGAAATCCTCAACCCATGAACCCTTAATAACCCCTAAACCCATAAACCCCCATGATACTCTTATACTAGCTTCCTTTAAACGGATCCCGTGGAGGAACACTTAAAGGGAACCCCTAAACCCCTAAATCCGCTAAACTCACGACCCACCGCTTTGCCGATTCAAGACTGAGGCTGCTGCCAGCCGAATGCTCCTTCTCCATGCCTTGCCCGGGCAAAGAGGGTTCTTTTTTGGGTTGTTCTGCAAGGGTTTAAGGTTTACTACAAGGGTTGCGGGATTGAGTTCAAGCCAAGCTCAAACCCCCCGAATGCCAAACCCAAACATCTAAACCCTCAACCCCGACAAATAAGCCGCTGGAAAACCCGAAACCACTAACACCTGAACCCACGCCCCGGAATCCTCTGCCTGAACATCTCAACCCCCTAAACCCTAAACCCAAAACCAAAAACCTCAATGCCAGGCTCCAACAGTCCCAAACCCCTGAACCCTCAGCCCGGGGAGTCGGCGGGCTTCATGCTGCTCTCACTACTTGAAGGGTCGGGGGACTTAGTAAGTAGGTAGTAAGTAGCCTTATAAGTACCCTAAAAAGGGACCCTAATTGGGGTTAGCGTACTTATAAGCCCCTAAAATAACCAGATACTAAGTCCCCCGACCCTCCAAGTAAGGCCACTGTTTAGGCCTACGCAGTGGCTCCAAGCTATGGAATGAAGTTGCTGTCGCTCTGCGGCCAAGATGGTCGAAGCAGTCTTTTTGGGGGCCTTAGTAGAATGGGGTCTTGGGGCCCATTATACCATAATTACAATAAGGACCCCCCCACCCCCCCCCAAAAAAAAGGTATAGGTAATTCGGGTGGTTATCAAAATTAGGGTCCCTTTTTGGGTCCTTATTATAGTACGGCACCTATATAACATTTACGGTACCCAAAAAAGGAAACTTAATTTTGACAACCACCCACTTAGCAACCTGGCACCTCTTGAAACTCCGCCCCAGCCCCCACTAAAGGTTGGGGGTCGAGGGTTCCAGGTGTAGGGTTTAGGGTTTGTACTCCTCTATACTGAACTTAGAACCCTAGCAAAAATTAGAATTTTAGCTGTTTCTTAGGGATTGTAATTACCAAAAATTAAAAATTATTTCTCTAAGTACCCCTAAGTCCTCATAAGACACCAAGCCTACATATGCTTCAAGGTTTGGGGTTGGGTTTTAGTTGGTTTACGGCTTTGGGTTTTGGGGTTTTGGGAAAGTTTAGGGTTTCGGGTTTGGCGCTTTGGGTCTTGGGATTCTGGGAAGGTTTGCGTTTGGGGGAACCCCGGCAGAACCGCGAAGAACAGATTCGCGCCTGGGTGTTCGCTGCAGCCTGGCAATCGATGTTTTGCTGCTTTTCAATTTGACATCGGACTGCTCTGCTTTTGGAAAACCAGTAGCTGTAGCAAAACTTGCTAATACTGTTGATGATATAAATAATATAAATCTGCACTACCTTAAGGACCCTAAGCTATGGGAATTATGGTATATTCCTTATGATGGTAAATGCAGAATTTCTATCATCAGCCGTACGAAGAACACCATGTGAAAGGAATCTTTCGTCACTACAGCAATGCTCTGAGAGGTACAGGTGCCAGTAATCCGGAAGCCCTAAATAACCCTAAATCCCTTAATATTTAGAAAGAATAGGGTTCCTTTAAAAGGGTCCTATAAGGGTTACTACAAGGGTACTATGATATAGGGGCCTTAATAATTAGAACAGGGTTTGGCTGCAGCTACCAGCCGACGACAGCCCCCAAAGCCTATTCTAATCATTAAGGCCCCTATACTATCTATAGTACCCTTATAGTAGCTCTTGTAACTTAGAGTCCTTTACCGTAGTCTAATTGTCGAGACGCTCCTGAGGTCGGAGAGGGCTACACCTCCTGTGAGATTTGGCAGAACATCCGGGGAGTTTCAGCGTGCGGTCTTGATTTCATTAAGTTTCAGCTTCTGCACGATTAAGGCCCCCATACTATCTATAGTACCCTTATAGTAACTCTTCTAATCCTTTACCCTATTCGTATTATTAAGGCTACCACTTAAGCGTCAGCTTCTCCACGATTCAGCCGCAAGTTGGAGCGGACTCGTAAGTCTGTCGACCGACCCTTGCACCCAAGCTGCGATGGTAGAAGCTCAAGTGTTGGGGCCTTAATAGTTAGAACAGGGCTTGGGGGTATATTATACTATAATCACAACAATTTTTTGTGGGCTTTCTTTATTATAAAGAAATCCCACAAAAGTATAGGTAACTCTTTAGGCCCCTGTAGTAGAAGCTCACGTGTTGGAGCCTTTGAGGGCTCTCAGGGTTTACGTCCCCGAAGAGCGCGGCTCCTAAAGCCCCCAAACCCGTGAGGCTTACTTGGAGGTTCATGTGGGGTGATAAGTCCCCGAATATGGGTTAATTATTTGTATAGTTGCCCTATTTGTAACTCCACCTGTATCCGTCTAACCATGAACCTCCAAGTACAGGCCGAGAAGGTTCAAGCCAAGCACCCAGGACTTGCAACCAGCATTCTGTCTGAGACCGCTTTTGGGCCAGCTCCACACCCCAGACTCTGAAACAGCAAGCCCCCGTGTGCAAACAAAAATCATGAAAGAATCCTGGCCTCCTAGTAGCTAAGCCCAAGAACCCTAAACTCTAACCTCCTAAACCCTCAACCCCCTAAAAGCCTCTACCCCAAACCTCCGTCCCGCCGCGGTCTCTTGGAAGGCCTCCTGTGCCTCCCGCGCATCCGCGCGGCTCTGGAGCGCGAAGTTCAAATCCTCGGGCTGCAAATTCTAATTTTAATATAAACCTTATATAACCTACCAAAACCTACCTTTTTGTAGGGTTCCCGATTAAATTCCATAATACTAGGGTTTATAATAAGAGCCTACAAAAAACACAGGGTTTGGTAGCTTAAGAAAGTCCTTCGCAGCTAGAAGCTGTGTTTTGTAAGTGAAGCTTTGTAGGGGTTTAGCAGCAATCATGATTCGCATAGAAACCCCTCAACCCTAAACCCCTAAACATAAGAACCCTGAAGCCTAGCCCCTTTATAGTACCCTTATAGCAACCCTTTAAAGGAACCCTGGTGTTCTTTTTCTAGCGGCTTGCAGTGCTTTATGAGGCTTAGGGGGGCCTCGGTGGCCGCGGTGCTTTCACTCTTCGGCTGCCAGGTTCAGAGATGCCACAAAGAAGACTCCGGAAAAGGGCTTTAGGGTTTAGGGTTTAGAGTTTAGGGGTTTAGGGTTTAGGGTTTAGGGTTTAGGGGTTTAGGGTTTAGGGAGGCCTGCATATGAAGTTCATAGGAGCGTTCCAAGAGGGGTCCTTTACAAGGCAACTAGCACCCTGGCTTCAGAAAAAATGCCAGAAACACTTTCTGCTTACTCTTAACACCCTGGCTTCGGGAAAGGAATGCCCGAGACATCTCTTTTAGACAACCCTAAACCCTAAACCCTCAACCCTAAACCTTAAACCCTAAACCCTCAACCCTCAACCCTAAACCCTAAACCAAAGTCCGGCCTGCTTCTCTGGGCCCTCGGTCTCTGAGAAAGTCTCGTACCTGCAGAGGACCAAAGCTTCGGACTGCAAGCTTGGAGGGTCGGGGGACTTAGTAACTGGTTTGTTTTTAGGGACTTATAAGTACCATAACCCCAATTAGGGTCCCTTTTAGGGTACTTATAAGTCTACTTACTACCTACTTTCCCCCGACCCTCCAAGAGGGCTTCGGTTTTGAGGTTCCGGGTCTGCGCTCCGGGCTTTGGAGACCAGGTTCATGACTCTCGGGTACTTGAAGGTTCATGGGTTATAAAGTAGGGTTATACTTCCACTAGTATGGGTTAACTACAGTTACCCTACTTATAAACCCCCCATGAACCTCCTAGTAGGGTTTTCTGAGGTTTAGGGTGTTGAAGGGTTTTAGGGTTCGGAGCTGGATGTTCAAGGCTTGGGGTCCCAGTGCGGGGCTTCGAGTTTCTGGCTGCCTTCTTCGACTTTTTGGTGCTTCAAGGTTGACCCAATAGGTAAGAAACATACTGCTGTGTCTCTCTTCGTTGAAATTCTGATACTGAATTGAAGGTCCTGGGTTGAGGGTTTAGGGTGTCGGGATTGGGTTTTAGGGTGCAGGGTTTAGGGTTTCAAGTCTTGGGGTTTAGGGGTTAGGGTATTGTTGTTAGCACAAACATCTGCTACAGTGGCAAGACCGTTTTTGCCATGTTCGTCGTGCTGTTTGCGCGGTCTTGTTAGTGTTCTTCTTCTTTTGCTTGTTGTGCTTGAGCAGTTTCGTGGTGCTCGTGGCGCAAAACTCCACAATAGCAGTGTAGACGATTTTCAATTCTGGTGGCTGACCGTACACTATGATATAGTCATAGTTGCGATATTTGGAAGTTTCCGAAAACAGAGGACCCTAATATAATATAGTACCCTAAATAGTTGGATCCTCACTATAAGGGCCCCAAAATAAGGTACCCATAATTTTGGGAAACTCCCTTTTCTCAGCCCACAAACATGGCTGCTGCTCCGATGGAGGTCTTTGGTTCTTGCTAACCATATGGGTAGTTGTCAAAATTAGGGTCCCTTATTGGGTACCCTAAATAGTAGGTGCCGAATGATATCAAGGAGCCAAAAAGGGATCATAATGTTGACAACCACTCATATCTAACTTTGAACCTAAATATCTTTGCACTATCTGGCTACGATTACCATCATCATTCCGTTCAGCTTGTTGCTCTTATGGCACTCCGCAAAATCAGTATGCGAGTGCTGCCAGAGACACTTCTTAACAACAAGCGCTACAACCGCTACCACCTCCACCGCCGCCACGACGAAGAGTATCGCTTCTATCAAGTTCTACTACCCTAAACCCTAAACCCCTAAATCCGCAACCCCTTTCACTCCAAACCTTCTTGTCCAGGCTAAGCCCCTAAAATACCTTGCCCTAAACCCCAAACGCTTAACAACTTAACGCCCTAAACCCTAAACGCGCCCATCCTCAACCCTACTTGGAGGGTCGGGGGACTTAGTAAGTAGGTAGTAAGTAGAATTATAAGCACCCTAAACGGGACCTAAGTCCCCCGACCCTCCAAGTACGCCCTTCACCACCGACCCAAAACCCCAAGGCCCCCCCCCAGTGGAAGCGCACCAGGTCGGAATTGGCGAGACCTTGGAGTTTCGGAATACTACGGGGTTTAGGGTTTAGGGTTTAGGGTTTAGGGTGGATGATAGAAATCCTGCATTACCCATAATGAGGAATATACCATAATTCCCATAGTTTAGGGTCCTTAAGGTAATGCAGGATTTGTATCATCAACAGTAGGGGTTGGGGTTAGGGCGTAGGTTATACCCCTAAACCCAAAAAACCTTAGACCCCTAGCCCCTAAACTTTTGGAACCCCTAGCCCCTAAACCTTTAGAACTACCCATGAACGGTTGGGGTTACTTGGAGGGTCGGGGGACTTAGTAAGGGCTCCTTTGCTGGGGATTCTAAGGGTTCCTTTAAAGGGCTCTATAAGGGTAGTATAGGGTTTAGAGTTCAGGGACTTAGTAAGTAGGTAGTAAGTAGACTTATAAGTTCCCTAAAAGGGACCCTACCTGGGGTTATGGTACTTATAAGTCCCTAAAATAACCAGTTACTAAGTCCCCCG